TAAACCCCAATCTTGTAATTTGATATATTTTGTGGGTGTGAGAAAATAAACCTATTTATTTTCATTATCCGAAAAAAGCATAGGCAATTCTTCCAAACAAGATATATTAATTGAAACCTAAAACGGTAGTGGTGGCTTTGACATCTCAGCTTCAGTAACTTTCCCACCACAATAATCTTAGATTCCCTGAGACTTTTAAACAAATATTTTCCTGGTAACTGTTTTAATGATTTTTATCTTTGGTCATCGATTTCAAGAATTTAAGCTTCGTCCTAGATTGATAGCTAGATCCCGTAATTTTAATGATTCAATTGCTAAAAGTCGCAAAAGGTCTTTAATCGTAAGTGCATCCCTAAATGTTTATTCTCACGCAATTATGGCCTATAGAAATTTCAGCTTCTTGATTTTCTGTCAAATAAAATCTATAAAAATTTAAATGCAATGTTAATTGTCAACGTCTGAAACCTTTTCTTTTCATTGCCTATTCTACTCAATAATATTGTCTCAGTTTCTTTCTCTCTCAGTAAAACCTTGCGTATTAGTGGCTCTATCGCCTTGCTCTGATTAGTGTAAAGGATCAAATTCCTAGTGAATTCCCGCCAGGCAATAAACGTTCAGATCAACATGGCGTTTTTGGAACCAGCGTGTTAGAAGAAACACCGTGTACTTACATCACCTGATTCAAAAAAGCCATTTTGAAATTAACGCGCGCGCACACACACACACACACACACACACACACACACACACGCACACACACACATATATATGTTAATGTATATTTGGGCAGCAACCAGGTTTAATTAATTACGGCAGCGAGGAAGATTTAATTAATTTTGTATTTATTTTTTCCGCCATACATACGTTTTTTCCGTTTTATGGGAGTACAGGGTTCGGGTTTTGTCTTTGGTGTTGTTAGTTTTTCCTCATGTTTTGTCTGGTTACGTCTTATTTTATTTTTGTAATGTTTCGAATAGGATTCCGAATATTCGCCTGTTGAATTCCAGTGGCGATCAACATTCGAAAGCTCGGAATAAACGCTCTTACTGAACAACACCTAAAAAACATACTCCTTTGAAAACGGCCTAAGAAGTGGCCACAGGCGTTTGGGACAAGGAAAATTATGGACAATTTGTGTACTCCATTACTCTAACAAAACTGAAAAACATAATGATGCTGAAAAAATCTTCCTTGTCTGGAGTATTTAATGAAATATATATATATATATATATATATATATATATATATATATATATATATATATAATATATATATATAAGAAGAGGTTATAGTGGTTCCAACGATAGAAAAGTGTATATTAAAAAGAAGAGAGAAAACTGAAACGTTTTTGGTTGTAATGTTGATTTTTTTTTAAATATTCTGCTTTATTTTCCACAATTTTTCTACACGGGTTTCCGGTCTCGCAACCATCATCAGGCAAAGCATGGAGATTTTCACATATTAAAAATAATTAATTTTTTTCCTTTGTTTTTCGATGTTAAATATTATCGATATGAGACATTTTATCTTTTGTGTGTCAACTACCCAAATGTCTTTCTTGAACTCTAATGGAAAATTATTATGAGAAAATTATTTATCATACTGTGGAAATTAAAGCATAATATGTTTTTTAAAAAATCCACATTGCGAACGAAAACGTTTGCAGTTTCTCTCTTCTTTTTAACACAACTCCGAACACAATAGTCCACACCCTATTCGAAAATCGGAATGTGTGTGTGTGTGTGTGTGTGTGTGTGTGTGTGTGTGTGTGTGTGTGTGTGTATGTGTGTGTGTGTGTGTGTGTGTGTGTGTGTGTGCACACGCGTACATGTGTATTTATGTTTCCGGGTATACTAGTGCTCACAAATATACATGGTAAAAAATTTATGTGAACAAAGAAGTGAATATGTCATGGGGAGAACTTATAAGTAACTGAAGATCATTAGGATATTATCACGTGACTTTTACCATGATACAATGATACTCCTGGGAATTACCATTTCAAAGATTGAACTGAATATCTCCCTCTTCCTACTCCTCTACCCCACTATATTTACATTTTACTACAACCTCTCTCTAGATTTTTTTAATTTTATTTTTCATACCCCGTCTCTAATTTATTTTTCATACCCCGACTCTCATTTATTTTTCATACCCCGTCTCTCATTTATTTTTCATACCCCGTCTCTCATTTATTTTCAAATTTGTCATTTCCTCTGACGCTTCAATCTTTCTCTCTTTTTCTCTCTTTTCCTTCTTTCTTTTTTTTCCTTGTGTCTGAATAAATATTAATCCTTTTATTTCTGGAAAACTGATCCGAAGAGATGGACTACTTACTGAGGTTCACGATATAAATTATTACCTGACCTGATAGACGTTTAAGTTTTCTGTATTCATTATTATATTGCTCTGTTTTTACATTGAGTTCTCTTTGTATTTATATCCTCCCTGTAATTATCCCTACTAACCAAATGAATTTATATATATATATATATATATATATATATATATATATATATATATATAGGCAAAATACTCTACACATACGCAGACATACATAAGTGTACCTTCAGACATGAACGCACATAAATTACCGTATATAAACATACAATGAAGAGAAAAATCAACCATAAACCAAAAACAAATGCATAAATTATATTTAACTTAATATAAATATCACGAAAATATTATTTCGCCATTTCCTCAATACTGTTTCATCATATGTAAAATATATATTATTATATATATATATATATATATATATATATATATATATATATATATATATATATATATAGTGCTCCATCTTGAGTGCTCCATCTTGAAGAGAGATATAAACAGTATAAACAAATGACTCGACGCACCATTGTGTCTCAGAGTTTCACATCCTGAGCGAGCATTAGACTATGTTCTAATGAATGAACGCTTATGGTATGACTGACTGCCACCATGCAGTGTCGATTTCGAACTAACATGTCAATGCTTCTTTCTCTTCTTCTCTCTCTCTCTCTCTCTCTCTCTCTCTTATATATATATATATATATATATATATATATATATATATATATACACGTGTGTGTGTATATGGATGCATGTGTGCTTGCATCTTGCATTATATGGTATTTTATATCAAAATTTAAGTACAACACACACACATATATATGCTTGCATGTTCTCACATGTACACTCAAATTGTATTATATGATATCGGATATTTAAATTCCAAGAACACACACACACACATACATATATATATATATATATATATATATATATATATATATATATATATATATTAGTATGTTTACACGTTTTTATATCATTGCACCACAAGCGAGGCTATAAAAGCTTCTCACATGAAAGTGATTACTAAGAGTGAAAGCGACAGAGGAGGCAATAAAAAAACAGGTTTCAAAGAGACAGAAATTGGATTTAAAATTTTGATGGTCATGATTGACAGCAAAGCCGGAAACCACAATTGCGAAGTGCGAGTGAAGAAACTACTAGCATAGAACTTATGGTAACAAATAGTCATCGTGAAATTATGAGACCTAGCTGTCAATCTAGTACTGCGCTGAAATTCACGAAATCGAGGTACCAACATGTAATGCTCAGCAGAACATTTACCTGGGAAAAACTTATAGAAGAGGAAAAAGTTAGTTACGTTACGGGAAAATGATTGAAAGCGAGATGCCAGGTTCAGACCGATAACATTTGCCGAATGTGCTTTGGATTTTTTTTTTAAATCTCTAGATATAAAACAGTGCACAAGACCAGATGTGGCAGCAATATTTAATGAACGAACGAATAGCACACTCATACATAGGCAACATAGTATAGTAGCAAGAAAAATGATCTAACACGACATAATATTAAGTACTTGTATGTTCCCTGCGCGATCGCTCGTGTGCGTGTCTTGTGCGTGTGTGTGTGTGTGTGTATTGACGTACGGATAAGTTTATATCTCTTACTTTGTATTGACGTACGGATAAGTTTATATCTCTTACTTTTCCATTTTTTTTCTGTTATGATTGCCTTATTTTGTTGTGTTATGTTTGCGTCTTATCAGAACGAAATTGGCCTCGTCGCTCGCAATTTTGTCGATAAGCCTCATAACGAAGTACGTCGACCATTGGTTATGGCCATTGCGCATCATGACATTAAATGACGTCCAACAACATATATTACTCTCTCTTTTTGTTTTTTTTCTTTATCAGTTGTACTTTTTTGCTTATCCGTTATTATTTTTCTTCGTTTTTCTTTCTTTCTTTTCTTCCATTGTCTTCTTTTCTCCTCTTTTCTGCCTAGTCCTTATCTTTTTATTTTTCTTATCTTTTCAATTCTGGTTCTCGTCTTCCTCATTTTATATTTTACACTTTATATATATTCTTTTTTATTTCTCTCTTTCTTTCTCTTGATTTTAGGCACGTCTTTCCGTCTTCATCTCTTGACATGTTTTGTTACTTTATATTTGCTATGTTTTTGTATTTTTTCTTTTGCCTTTTATCATTTTTGGTTTTACTTGTCCCGATTTGAATCGATTTTTTCCGTCAAACTGCGCCATTTTTATCGTCTTATTTTCATTTTTTTTCTCATTCTTCGCTTAAACTTCATCAGTTTTTTTTCTTCCAATTCACTTAACAATAATATTAACTGACCTTTGCTCCATACAGCATAAGATCCATTAGGAAGAGTGCGTTGCGCCAATCTTCTAAGTGTGAAGGACTTGTTAACTTAAAATAAACATTCAAAAGCCTCTCTTATATGTGATCTCGAATAACGACCTCTGGCGTAAATCTTTTTTCTTTTGATAACTCTCACTCACCAGCTTTTAGTTAGTTTTGTTTCTTTTCGATTCATTTATAAACTCATTATTTCCCTTGAAAAAATTTCACTCATATTTTCCCTCGAAATATTTTTAATTTCTTTCTTTTTCTTATAATTTTTCAGTAAATATTTGTTCTTACATTCTACAGTTTTTGTCCGTCTCCTCATTCTACATGGTACAAAATTTATTTTCTTTCTTTCTACCTCTCCTTATTCTTTTTTCGTCATTGTTTCCGTCTGCCACTTTTTCACTTTCTTTAAAGCCATCTTATTTCATAATTATAATTTTATTTTCGTTTTTTCTTCATTATTCATGTCTTACTTTTTCTTTTTTCTTCTTTCTTCTTTCTTGTCTTTTCTCTTTTATTTATCTTTTTCTCATTTTTTTTCCTTTTACATTTCTTTTTCTTTTCCTGTTAATTCTACCAATACTCTTCTCTTCTCATTTGTACTTTTTATTCTGTATCAAATGGTTTTCTTTTTTATCTTTTGTCTTCCGCATTTGTTTTTTTTTTTTCATTTCTTCTCCATATCCATTTTTCATTGGCTAATTTACTTCTTTATGATTTTCCTTCAGGTTTATTTTCCTAATTCTCTCTACGCCTCATTTATTTTTTGCCATTTTCGTTTTTCTTTTTCTGCGCTATCATCGTTTCGTTTCGTTTCCTTTCTTTCTTTCTTTCTTTCTTTCTTTCTTCTTCATGTTTCCTCTTTCCTTTTCATCACTTTCTCTCTTTTCGTTTCTATTCTTTTCTGCTGTTTTTATTTGAGCTTTTTACTCATTTTTCCAATCATCCTGAAAATTTTTCACTTTTTCTTCATAGTTCCTTTTTTTTTCTCTTTTTCTAGCAATTGATCTTTCTTTTCTCCACTTCTTTCCGTCGCCCCACCCACACTCACATGTCTTCCTTCTTTTTCGTTGTCTTATTCTTTTTTTCTTCGGAATTATCTTGTTACCTTCATTCGATGTTCACTACTCCCTTCAGATTGTACCATCTATCACACACGCACTTCCTCCTGGTCAATGAAAGCGTAACTCATCTTTTTTCTGCTGCCAAAGCCAGAACATTACACATTCTTCCTACATTCGTTATTTGTTTATTTATTCATTTTTAAATATTCAGATATTTTTAAAAAAATTCAAACATAGTATAAAATTCTTCATATATTAGTATTTATATAGAGGATAGGTTCATAAATCCGTACATATCAAGAAGAATATCTATTGAAAGAAGTTAATTAGGCAATTACTGTCAGTAAAACATATTATGATTCTAAAAAAATAGCGGTTATCTCTACTGATATATTTCTAACATATTTCTAGCGCTGCCTTCTAGATCATCCCTCTAACGATTCGGGCTCCTCACATATTCTGCTGTTACAGTGAATGCAATGTCTACTTTAGTATCTCTTAGGTTGAGTCCATTACACATTATGGTCAGGAAAGATCAACTTCTCTTAGAATAATGGTTACTTGTTGAACTTAAATTCGATTAAGACTCTCTGGAATGTCTTGTCGTTAATTACAAACTATATATATATATATATATATATATATATATATATATATATATATATATATATAAATATATAGTCTTAGTCTTAAGGTGTACTATATTTATGGGATAAAGTGCTCAATATCGGAGATAGAGCGTGTGTAAATATAAAAGTGAACATAGAAGTCAACACTTAGAAGCGACAGTCTGTTTCATGGTATATGCAATCGTCAGGCCACATTATTGTCAAAACTAAATCTATGTATGTGGATTTAGATAAATCAGAATGCAAGTTTAGTGATGGATTTACGGATTTCAAAAATCATTATAAGACAATAAACAAGAATATTTCAAAAATCATTACGGTATAAACAACTAAACATTTCTGGTGAAAGAATATTTCAAAAAATCATTACGGTATAAGACAACTAAACATTTCTGGTGAAAGAATATTTCAAAAATCATTACGGTATAAGACAACTAAACATTTCTGGTGAAAGAATATTTCAAAAATCATTACGGTATAAGACAACTAAACATTTCTGGTGAAAGAATATTTCAAAAATCATTACGGTATAAGACAACTAAACATTTCTGGTGAAAGAATATTTCAAAAATATTTATAAAAATAAACATTTCTTGAAAGAATATTTCAAAATAAGACAAGACAACTAAACATTTCTGGTGAAAGAATATTTCAAAAATCATTACGGTATAAGACAACTAAACATTTCTGGTGAAAGAATATTTCAAAAATCATTACGGTATAAGACAACTAAACATTTCTGGTGAAAGAATATTTCAAAAATCATTACGGTATTAAACATTTGGTGAAAGAATATTTCAAAAATCATTACGGTATAAGACAACTAAACATTTCTGGTGAAAGAATATTTAAAAAATCATTACGGTATAAGACAACTAAACATTTCTGGTGAAAGAATATCAACTTCCACTGGGGCAGCTTTAAAGTTTCGTACAGAATTTAAAACCATCTTAGATGAAAAAAGATTCACTGCTGATGAAATTTACAATGCTGACAAATCTGGAATATATTGGAAGTGTTTAGCAACTAATACATTAGCAAGTGAATAGGAAAAACATGCAACGTGATTTAAGGTTAAGAAGGAGCGCTTGATTGTTCTCTTTAGTGCAAATGCTTCAGGACAACATAAAAAGAACTGTTAGTGATTAGAAATTGGCACGACCTGCTACATTTAGATAAGTGCTTGGATTGATAAAACATCTTTAGTGATTGTTTTTTTTTTTTTTTTTTTTTACTATTTTCATTCCATGAATTTTGAACTACTCGGAAAGCCTGAAAAAAAAAAAGCAAATGAATTGTTCTTCTCGACAATTGCAATTCTCATCCTTATGAATCTGAAATGATTTCCGACTGTGGCAATATTTATGCCTGCTATTTCCTACAGAATGTTACTTTTCATATCAACGGATCAAAGAGTAAGAATGAATATTAAATTTCACTATAAATACAGCCTGTTGATGAAAATTATGGTACAAATTTTGATCTTTTAGAATTTCAACAAAATTTACCATCAAAGATTCAGTTTATTTTTTCGAAGGTATATGGAATTATGTATAACCTATAACAATTTCAAGAGCTTGGAACAGTTTATGATCCATGGAAACAAATGCAACAATGAACGAAGCTCCTAATTTGTTGAATTTTCAAATTAGCAAACAATGATTGCAGAATCTGAACTAAACGGTAAAACTTGCACCTGAAGATGATCCACGGAATTCACTCACTTCGGATGACTTAAAAGAATGGATAAATGAAGACATTAATGAATTATGAAAGAAATCAACAATAGAATCGCTTCAAAAGGATTTGGAACTGTAATGAAAGAAGAAGAATCATATTTTTTTAGATAATGGTGAAAATACGAAGGATGATGACGATGACTGGGACTCAGTAGAGAAAGCTAGAATACGGACATCAAATTTATGTAGAAAACATCTTTGTTCAGAACTACAGAATGTACAAGAACATTTCATTTGCAGAAAAAAAAACTTACTTTAAAAAAGCAAGAACAGCGTAAAAGGAAGCGAATTGAGAAAACAAATAAGAAGGACAATAAAACTTTTTGAGCATTAAACATTGTAAATTACTATTTATCATCCGTGAGATATTTTTCATATATTGCAATAAGTTTTTGTTTTATTAAGTTATAGTTATATGACATATGTCATATTTTATCCAAATCCGTCCTCATATTCGAACTAATCTGAAGTTAGGATATGAGGACTTTTACTGTTTATATATATATTATTACTGAGAGAAAAAACAAGAACAACATCTATTCCATGCCTGAAGATGTCTGTAGGAACAGACGAAAGCTTGTAGTAAAAATAAGAACTAATGCAGCAGAAATTTATAGAAACAAGGATCTTTTCATTCATAACAGGTTCGGGGGTTTTTGTATATTATTTGAATTGTTTGCGACGATGGATTTCTCGCCAATTAAATCATTAACCTTTGCATTTGTTTTTGTATGAATAATTCATGAATTTGTAAATTGATTGCACGTTTATCGAAATTAAAATAACTGATCCAAGTGCGACTTTTGGATAATAAGTGCGACATTACTGTAATTATTGAACAATATAGTTCATGCTACTTTGACAGAAAATTTACCAGTAAAAAAAATTCGCTTATCACCATATTTGTACAAGAACGCACAACTGTAAAATTTAAAATCAAACTCAGCGTTGCTACTGCACGCTCCAAAAACAATAACTCATTTCCAATAGCATTTTTCGGATACAACAATACATATATTTTCGCTGTCCTCTTATTACTGAGAGAAAAAACAACAACATCTATTCCATACCTGAAGATGTCTATAGTAACAGACGAAAGCTTGTAGTAAAAATAAGAACTAATGCAGCAGAAATTTATAGAAACAAGGATCTTTTCATTCATAACAGGTTCGGGGTTTTTTGTATATTATTTGAATTGTTTGCGACGATGGATTTCTCGCCAATTAAATCATTAACCTTGCATGTGTTTTTTTTGTATGAATATATATAATAATTATATATATATATATATATATATATATATATATATATATATATAATTGGATTAATTTGAGTTTGCCACCCTGGTTTTTACGCTATTTGCGATCCTCAGACAAACTGATTATCTTTTAAATTTTGAATTTATATATGGTTGGGTATAACGGTATACACATTTACTAAATGTATTTGCATTGATAAGTCGAGGAAAAACTACTCTCCCATGGACGAAATGATCATCTGTATGGAGTAACTTGTTTGGATCTCATTAATTGTAATTTACACACACACACACGTGCGTGTGTATGTGTGTGTGTGTGTGAACCACGTTTATTGCTGTTCTTCTTGTGTCTCTAGGGCTGGGTGCTATATGTTCATGGTGGTTGTTGAAGAATGTATGACAATCGGAAATTATCTGGTTCTACAGTGTTGTTTCTCTTTTCGTTTTTCTAAGAAAGGGAAAGTTGCTTAGGTGATTTTATGCTACCAATTCTTTATATCGACAGCCTCCGTTGGGCCCACAAGCAAAACGCTCGCTGCTTCTTTAAAAGTCATTGTACGCATTTTTCTTTATTTCATTCTGTTTTTATTTTATTTACTTACTTATTTATTTATTTATTAACGTTTTTTTTTTTATCAACTTGCACAGCACTGGGTGACCGATTGAATTTTTATTATTTTATTTTTTGCAAATGCCGTAATACACACGAGTCATCTCAACATTTCAAAATAAATTCTGTCTGATAACATTGACACTGGATATTGCCTAGCGCCCTTTGAGGTGATGAAACCTTTGACAGAGTATGAGAAACAACCTCCTCTTCGTATCGGATGAACACTATTATCTTTTTTTGTTCTCGTTATTTATTTATTCAAACGTTATCTATCGCCAGAGAAAAACCCTGTCTGACTGAAAGCAACACAAATAAGCATTTGGCCCGACATTTTATTTCGAACTGCATCCCTGAGTCTTCTTTTTTTTTCCGATCGGCACCGAGAATCTGGAGAGAAATCCCCAACCACATGAAGATAACAAAGAGAAAGTCAGTAAACTTTCCCAACAGCTTTTCTCCTCACTCTGTTAAATACACATTTTTTTTTTCAAACGAGGAGTGGTCGAGCCACTGTCTTGCGGCTTCATATCTTTTTATTGATTGATTTATTTGGTGGATGTCACGCCTGACTCTATCTTTGCTATCGTTAAATTTATCATCATAATTATCATCATTAACAGTCTTACAAATTCTGAATCGCGTCTCTTCTGACACATGCATACATTCACCATCACCCGCATACTCTTCTTCATTATCTTCTCTTTCATCATCGTTTTCCTCTGCTTATCTATGCTGAGTCCTTACAGGACGTGGGCAATTATGACTCTCCACAACCTTCTATCAAACCGTTAAGCAATTTTTGTCCCCTTGCTCTCCATCCTATTTATACAAGCTTGTTAATTATGTTACTCGCTCTTTCCTTTGCCTTTTTTGGTT